TAGCACGGAGTCTGGAATTGTGCCCGGTATATGGCAATAGGGTCACCCACTATTACATGGGACTCATAACATAACAATAGTGAAAAGTGGGTGTTACATTGTACAGTGGCATAATGTACACCTCTGCCTATCCTTCGGGGATAAAAGGCGTGATGTCATGTTAAATAAATGTTCCGTTATGCAAATTTTGCTAATCATTTCATTTATGCCAGAAAGGCTTCGTAGAACACAAAATAAACTAGGAAGAGTCATGGATGCTAGTATATTATATGTCCCTGTTTACAAGCCCGAAGTATGTATATAGGGAAATATTTCACCAACAAAGATACGACAATTTACGATCTCTATTTTGTATGTACACAACCATATCAGTAGGTACAATTTCTTTCTTTCTTAGGTACTGCTAAAGAATTACTTATTTTTCTTCAAGTTTTCTTACTCAGTGTTTGATAACTACATCTATATTTTTTCTTTATCTCTATCTAAGTATCTTTACTTACTTGAAAATTATTTCATCATTTGTTGTACTGTGTTACGTAACACGGTGTTTATTGTTACATTGTTTTTTTTTTCTATTTGAATTTAGCATTGCAGTTATAGGGTAATAAATTGAGCGGTATATACTTGACTATGCTAAAACTAGTAGTTCATAAAATACTGAAAATGCTATGAATTTATAGATAGCCATTATTTTAGAATCCATTCTTTTCATAAACTCACAAAAGAAACATTATTCGAAAGAAACATCAATTTAGTCCTTGAAAATATTTAGGGCTGATGCTGATACGGAGCCGCGGAAGACTTAACGGATTGTCGGGGCTCCGGCTCGAAGAGCAGGAGTAGGAACGGGGTGGTTTTTAGTCAGTAGAAGTCTGACACTCCCTCTCGCCGCACCCGGGTGGGAGAAGTCAATGGATGATTTCTCCCCCCTCAAAAAAAGGCCTTGAAAATATGTATCACTTCTTGTCAATTAACGCCCGAATACTGAAAGGCTACTCTATTTTAAGTTTTACTTAAATATCGTGCCATCTCTGTCATTTTAGTGACAAAACTGCGCGACTTAAAGTCAAAGTCAAAGTCAAAAGTCAAAGTCAAAATCATTTATTTCAATTAAACCAGGATAGCACTTTTGAACGTCAAACAACAAAAAATTATAAGTGAAGCTAGTTGCTCATTCCAAGGCGTAGATTCCTATGGAGAAGAACGAGCAAGAATCTCCATAGGTTACTCTTTTTCAATCAGGTTTACAATACAATTCTCTAGTTACATTGTTTTATTGGTTCGATTATATGAGAACAATGCAACACCTAAATCCAGTCAGAAATACTTAAAAAGAAAATAACCTTGATTAAATAAAATTGAGCAACCTCTCAGTATTCGGGCGTTAGTCAACCGAATAAAATATTCTCAACCATCATCACATCACAAATACATTTTCTTAAAAGGTTAAATACCAAAATCATTTTTGGTTCCGATAAATAAATATCGGTCATTTGAAAAATTACACAATATTTCGATGAAAACTTAAAACATTGAAAAAGGCACAACAAAATACATTTCCTGACAAATTGCTTGAAAATCAAAGTCTAATTGAAACTCTGTTGCGGCTATCGGCCTCGCCGGATGTTTCGTAGCGTGGTGTAAGTGATAGACTGATGCAATTTCGATATTATAAAGTCTACGAAAGACTGTAGTGATATATATAATACCTACGTTACTGAATCTTTAGGTAAAGTACTAAAAGAATGCACATGAATTGTTTTAAGTCGTTTATGATTGTCCAGTAGGTTTTAATAATGAAATTTTATCCAAATCTTCTAGCTAAAGGAATTGCTCCCAAGTAGGCAAATAGTAAATAATAAGGATAAGGCTTTTACAATAAACTTTCAGGAACTTTATATGACAACATGGTTAGTGCGGTGGCTTGGCAACTGGCTGCCATGCAACGTGTCGCGGGTTCGATTCCCGCACGCAGCAACTCTGTGTGATGCACAAATTGTAGTTCCGGGTCTGGGTGTCAAGTGTATGTGAACTTGTATGTTTGTAAACGCACCCACGACACAGGAGAAAATCCTAGTGAGGGGCAACGTGTTAAAAAAAATGTATGTACATACATGACATCGTGTGAAAATAGTCATTTTTGAATATAATAGAAATATACCTATTTCAAAGATCGCTCTTAGCTTATAACTTGAGTAATGTTTTTAACCTCGCATTACCAACGGAGTGGTCTTTATTAAAATAGTTGCGCGCCTCTACCCCACTTGCGATTTTGGGATGCCAACCATTTTGCAATGCCCATTCATTTCTAAATTTAAAAGGGCCGTAGAATTATGCGTGTTATTTTTTGGGCTCACAGCTTAAGAGATGAAGCACAAGTACAAAAGGTAAACATTAATATTGTCATTGGAAATATATTTTTTAAAGTTATAATAGGATTTGTTTTGACGTCAATACATATGAAGACATGTTTTATTGACAGTTAACATCGAATATATTATATATAAGTAAATGATATTTATTAAACTATACGTAAATAGTTTCAAAAGGCATTCATCATGAGTTTTTATTGCAATATTATTTCTTGTCGAAAATGAATATCTATGGATGTGTCTCCCCTTTGAACTGTAGGTACATGGATACTGTGTAGTTGTTACCTGGTTAGAATATAGTGAATATTTCCATTATGCAGTGGTTAACTCCATTAAACACACGTAAATTATAATGGACCGTAGCGGATGCATCAGAGTATCAGTTTTGCTGGGTCACCGCGTGCACTTGACCCAAATTGTGAGGCCGGCCGATATTTAACACATATTTTATTACTTTCCAGTCTGTCGTATGTCTCTCTTTCTATAGTTATTTTGTGGTTTGACATCATTATGTGTTACTTCGTGAAAGTATTGACTTCAAAACAAATCATAAGATTTTTATATCGTTGCAAACCCAACGATAAGTCGAGTACCATAATATATCCACTAGCATCCTGAAGACTATAGCAGACAAACGGAATAGCTCCATGCTTTTTGAATACGCCTGCATGCTATTGTGGCGTAACCAATTAAAACTAGTTTTATAAGTTGTTTGTTTACTAACCAAATGGATTTAAGTTATTCGCAACAAAAATAATTGATTTAAAAAAATATGTACATTAATAACTGTTTACACAGTCACTATTTCATGAGGACCTCGACTAGTATCAAACTACATTGGGGACTCATACTCACAAGGAGTATTACACTACATAGCGAAGTTTCGCGACTAACTATTGTTCTTTAGGTAGGTTCTTACCTATATTAAAAAAAACTTACTGTTTTTTTTCTAATACCGACTATTATGTAGTGATGCCCTTTGACATAGACTCGAGGACTAGGGCACATCAGTTCATATGAATCAGAGGTCAAATTTGGTTTCTCAAGCCTACTTTTGAAGCCTAGGAAAAAGTGATTTTGTATGCTACTGATACTCCTTTTTAATAGGTTTCCCCAAGGGATTCTGCCAAATAAATGTATGTTATGAATAGTAGTGTAAACTCTGTACAAATGTCTTGGGTTTTTCAATTCTGAAATTCTCAGTAGTAACATGTTTGCTTCGTAAACGAGAACTTTTTAAAGTAACACGAACGTGGCTTGTTTCCATGATTTTTAGTAAAATGTCTAGTTTGCGGTACATACCTACTTACTTAAAATAAATCATTTTTTTATGGCATAAGCCGGTAAACGAGCAGACGGATCACCTTATGGTAAGCAATCGGCGTCGCCAATGGACACCTAGAACACCAGAGGATTTACAAGTGCGTTACCGGCTTTTTGGGGATTAGGAATTTGAGGATCGTAGGGGATTCAGGAATTGGGGTGATTGGGGAAGGGGAGGGTGATTGGGCCTCCGGTAACCTCACTCACACAACGAAACATAACGAAAGCGTTGCTTGGTCGAGCTGGCCCATTCGTACCGAAGCATGGCTCTCCCACACTTAAAAATATTATATAATTATGTTTAAACTCAACATGTTTGGCAGTCGCACTTAAGGTTGCTGAGCTAATGAGATCTTTGAAGGAGCAATTAACACGGCATTGGTTGAAGCGTGACTGGTGGGTAAGGAGGCTCAGGTTAGATTCTGCTACGGGACAAAACATTACCAATTGAGAATTTCCAAAATTCCTAGTTAAATCACGGTGCATTTGACCCAATGTGACACTTATAACTTACTTGGTTAAATAGTGGATGATGACGTTACATAAGACATGCATTGATGTGCACAACCCAAACCTTTGGAGAATTAAAGGCCTATCTAAGTTATATTTTAATTTATTTCTTACTTTACAGTATTTTTTTTAAATCAATTCAATTACATACATTAAACTTTACAGTCAACAGATTTACATTCCAAACTCAATCTATTCAACATAGTTAACACTATCCAAACACAGGGTCCACCATTAAAAGAGTTGCATTCATCCATGTCCATGCAGTGAGGACATTCAAGGCCAGCGTCCGATCTAGGTAATCAGGTCATAGTCGTGCCTAGAGGCTGCACCCGATGCCAGGCACTGAAAAATTTCCTGTTCACTATAATTATCCTGATTAACAAATTGTGAGAAAAAGGAAGGGAGACATAATTTTTAAGTATGATGAAAAGTAATATAACTATTTTATTACAATGTTGATAACAAAGTTCGTAAGTATTTTATGAAAATTTTAGGCTTTTTATGGAATAAGCCAGTAAACGAGCAGACGGATCACCTGATGATAAGTTATCGTTGCTTACAATCGGCGCCGCCCATGGACACCCGAAACACCAGAGGTGTGTCCGTTACCGGCCTTTTGGGGATTAGGAATTTGAGGATTATGAGGGATTCGGGGATTGAGGAGATTAAGTTTAAAAATCATATATTTTTAAATATATACACCAATTTGTTAAACGTATACTTACTTTCAAAGTCATATTTAGTTTTAACAACAATGAATTTCGCAGAATTAAAACTACCTATAGGCATTATTCAAATGAGACTAAAAATTAAAAAATAACAATTAAAATTATATATTTCATTCTTATATTACATATACATATTAAATTTTTTTATAACATAACAAGCAATTCCTCTTGGATACTTAATTAATTATATTATCCTAACTACCTAATTTATATTAATGAGTTATGTTAAGAAACTATTTGAATACAAATTTATTATATTTTATTGTATTAATAACAGATAAGTCGTTATTGTAAATCAATTTTATAAGGTGTGAGCGAAACCGGCGTTCGTTATAGCCTAATTATGTAGATAGATGTATAACATGTATACCTACATTCCGTAATTTTGTAACATAAGTACCTAATATTAGTAGAGAGGTGCTGTTTTACGATAAAAACAAATAAGATTCATTTTATAAAGTAACATGGGCTATATAGTTTCAGACATTGTCGCGACCGCGCACGCTGCTCCTGAGGGAGACTCCCTATGTGACTCGAAACTAGTAGAGCTTTTCTCAGTATACTATTTACGTGAGTGAGTAAGGCGTAATTTTTTGTTAATTCAGCATATCTCACGATAGTTATTATAATAATATGCTATGGTTGCTTGTGGGACGACGTGCCGCATCATCGCTTACAACCAGGCGAGATATTGGTCAAATGTGGGCCCATCAAATAAACAAAAAAACATTCACTAAGGAACTTTTATACTGTTTAACCTGTTAAATAATAAACATTCTGTTTTTATTCTAGTTTTCCACTTTTGAGTTAGAAATCGCCCACATCTACGCGAGACACAATATATTAGTGTGTTGTCTATTATGGCTTATTAAAAATTAATCTACGATTGAGTTATCAACTCATAACGGACATTTAAATAAGATAATATATTTTATTTTCTCATAAAAGTTCTTAATACCGTCTATAATATGGTATCCCTACTCGGGCCTAATGTCGGCCGGTATTGGATCCTCGTTTGGCGCGGTGGTCGTGTTATAAATCTAGCTGCTACATGCACTGTGACGTGTGATCCATCCCGAACTGCCCTTGTACCAAACCTCGGCTAATACTTCCTATTTTTAGAAATTTTAATCTCTCAAGGATCATTGTTAAACCTGGCTCTTGTTACTTCTATTTATATTTTTTGTGAAACACATTTTGTACCGGACAGACTACCTCGTTGGCCGAGTAGTCGCAAGTGCGACTGCCGGGCAAGGGGTCTCGGGTTCGATTCCCGGGTCGTGCAAAGTATTACAGGGATTTAAAAAAAAATCTCAGTAGTAGCACGGAGTCTGGAAATGTGCCCAGTATGTGGCAATAGGCTCATCCCCTATTACATGGGACTTATAACATAAATAGTGAAAAGTGTGTGTTACTTCTGTGTGCACCTCTGCCTACCCCTTCGGGCATAAAAGGCGTGATGTTATGTTATGTTATAGAGTAGAGGCTAGTTATGATAAAATCATTGCATTTTATTTCTCACACAATTGACTTCTCAAACTATTAAATCATCATTCTACCGTAGTTCCTTGCCAACATTTTGTTTTGATTAACAATTATAATTTTAAATATATTTTACGTTACAAAAAAAAAAACTGTATACTTCTATTTCAAAACTTTTACGTAAGTAAGTATGTAGTTATTTTTTTTTTTGAATTTTGAATTAACTACGTAAATCAAAATGATTTACAGTATTTTCAAAACAATGCAACTCAAATTTACTGATTGCGGTAATTGCAAACTTGTGTGAATTATCATGATTAAGGAAAAAATACACAATAATGTAATTTTTATGTAAATACCTAAAATTAGGTACCTGAATTGTATTGTATTCAAAATAGTTGTATATGTAACTGATTACAACATTTTGTAAGTCTTATATTTTTGAGATGAAACTAAAGATACCGGTGTCTTTATATTACAAAACTGTTTATAAATAAACAAGGTTTCTTGTAAAATTATAATTTAAAATTTTTTTAATAACCCTACACTAGGATTTTCTTCTGTGTCGTGGGTGCATTTACAAACATACAATTTTACATACGCAACCCAACCCAACCGGTTTGGGTTCAAACCAACACAACACAATTTGTGGATCACACAAAGAGTTGAAGGAAAGTATCGAACCCGCTACACATTGCACGGCAGTCGGTTGCCCAGCCACCGCGTCAACAATGGACCTTACCTTTCTTAAATTATCTACTTCATTTATGACTTGTTATTAGGTAATCTGTCACATTGTGAAACCTTTATCAAAAATCTTATTTTTTTGTATTCTGTGTATTACATACCTATCCCAAAATAGAATTAACCTAAAACACAGTAATACTCTCCACAATAGAGTACAATCAATATATTGGCCGCTCGCATGACGTGTAACAAAAACGGCTGCGTATTTCCAAACTCCCGTACGACAAGATTCTGTAACTTGAATCACTTTGATAATGTAATTACGACTTTTGCAAACTTCCCTAAGTGCCGTCTGAGAGTGCGACGAACTCTCGAACTTTGTCGTCTTACCTTATTTGTTTACGTTTTTTGTTTGAATTCAATGTTTCGTGGACAAAATGGGCCTGAACAAAGTTGTACTTTATTTAGAGATATCTAATTTTAACATTTCGTTAGTCCATTCATCATCAAAATTGTAATCCTACTATTTAAGTAAAAGCATTGATTCCCCTGTCAGTACACAATGTTCAGTTTGTTTAATAGTAAAGTAGTATATTTGTTTGGTAACACAAATTCGGAAAATATGCTATTAATAACTATTCCAACAAATATCAAGTTAAATAATAATATTCTGTAAACTGGTTAAAACTGATTTATTGAAATGAAATTGAGTTATGGTACAACATTTATATTTAGATTTCAGAGTAAAGATAGAGATTACAATTATATTTAGATAAATATTATAACATGATTATAGTTTAAATGATTTAGGTATACTAGTTTGACTTTATAATTATGTGAGAAACTATAGGATCATAAAGAAGGATCATAAAGAAGCATGACATATCTGATCAAATGTTCATGAAAATCTAGATTAATTACCTAAATCTCGAGTGCTACTAAGCAGTGCCTATTTTAGTTTTATCAAATTATTTTGTAGTAATTTAGTAATTATATATTATAAACTAGCTACTTCCGCGCGGTTTCACACGCTCTGCTCAGCTCCTATTGGTCGTAGCGTGATGTTTTATAGCCTATAACCATCCTCGATAAATGTGCTATCCAACACAAAAATTATTATTCAAATCAGACTTATAGTTACGGAGATTAGCGCGTTCAAACAAACAAACAAAAAACAACTTCCGCATATTATAATAGTATAAGATATAGGATGTACTCCTCATAGTTCTTACTTGTATTACACAAATGATTGAGTTGTATATTATAAACAACTAGCTGACCCGGCAAACTTCGTACCACCACTAAAAATTTGTTTTTTCTCCTTTCAAACCTTCACTGGACTTCCATAAACATTTCGAGACAAAATTAGCTAAATAGGTTTGGCCGTTCTCAAGTTTCAGCGATACTAATGAACTAAAATTCATTTTTATTTATTTAGATGTACCTAACACTTAGTTTTCACCACTTGTCTATTTCAGTTAAAGTCTATAACTGGTCTTATTTCGCTTCGAGTTCGAGTACCAATGATAGAAAACTTGTGATGTAGCCAAGTAATTAATTATAAGCAGCTAATTGATCACGCGGCCTTGACATGGAAAGGATAAAGTGTCTCTCCACAAAAACGCTCAACACACAGATTCTCCCAAGTTCCCAAGGGCAAGCGACCGAGATTAGTTTCCCTATTCCCAACTGAGATTTAATCATAAAATGTATATATTTAGACTTTCTTTTTATTTGTCTTTTGCAAAAAACAACTAACTTAATCACACAGACAACACACACACATGCATAACTATAATTATGTAGTTATCATATTACATTTAAGTATATATTTATTGCTCATTTTGTATATCGTTTTAGTGTGTACTATATCGCCCTGAGAACGAAAGTGACTCAACTCAAAATTGCCAATTTTTGGGAATAGGCGAAAATGTGTCCGTCGTATTAAGCATTTTCTGTTCATTTTACAATAACACTAAAACATGGTAACAAAAGTTATAAATTTCTTTTGAAATATATTTGTCTTGTCATGACAACTCACGGTGCAACACTGATTTCGTCACTTTGATTCGGGCGCGGGGGGAGGGAACGGTTGAGGGACAAAGAGACCGAAATATATCTTTATCCGTTTCTTACCTTTATTGGCCAGTTTTCTAATCTATGGATGATGGAGTATACTTTTTTGAGTCATTCTGTATACTTAACTCATCGGTCACTTTCGTTCTCAGCGTGCGATATGTAGTTTGTAAGTTTTATTGATTGTTTAATTTGTTTTATCTTCTATTTTGGTTTTTTTATTGTGTATCTACCACCCATTACCAGATTCTTTTCAAAAATTCGATCCAAAGGTTGTCTGGAAGAAATCGCCGCGTGTGATGCCCATTGTACTCAAATTACTATTGCAATGTTTACAATTGTTTTTTCTATGTGTGCAATAAAGTATAAAATAAATAATCATGCCTAATAGGAATCGATTTTTCATTGACCAACAAAAAATAGACAAGATACAATTTATTCAGATTTTCCATGATGTCAATGTGCTGAAGCCATTTATTGCTGTCAGAGTGTCATTTCACGAATACGCATACATAAACATATTAAATCGAAAAAAAAATTACGTAACTATTGCAATTACTTTTTGTCATGGGACGAGAAGATTTTTTTTGAGGAGTGAAAATCATCCTATGTCTACTCCTACGTAGGATGAGATGAGAGAAAGTGTCAGTCTCTTACTGAAAAAAATCACCTCGTTCCTATTTCTGGTCTTCCAGGCCCTGGCTAATAAACGAGCACATAGGTCACCTTTATGGTAAACAAGCTATTAGCACCGCCTACTATGCTTATGTAGATATAAGTATTCGTTTAGCAGTATATATTACAAAAATATACAATGTACTATGTACCTATGCCTATATTTTTTTAACTAATGTGTTAGGTAATATTTTTATTTTATAGTTATTTATGTGTATAGTTTACATATTATTTAACGATAAAGTTAACTACATTATTTATGTTTTAAAATTGTGTTCCATAGCTTCGCATCAACCGCTTCATTTCTTAGCACCTCCCTATGGTTGACTGTTAGAAAATTAGTTGTTTAGTCATTATGTTTGCCATTCAATGCAATTTTTTTATGAAGATGTTGAAGAAATGAATAAATATAACAAAAACCAACTTTATAAAAAAAAATGCATATAGATCTACTACATTATTCGCAAATCATTTTTTAATTTAAATAAGTCTAAGTAGATGAGTTATGGCCACATCTAATATTTCTTTACGTCATAACTGAAAAATAAGATTTATCATTCACTATTACTGATGTCATTTAAAATACCTAGTTGTTGGTTTAGGTACAAATATTTTCATTATTTCATAACATTGCGTTCATTTGGAACGAAAAACATTGTGAGGAAACCTGGGCTTATAATTTCTAATTATCGATAAGTTTGAAATCGCCAACCCTCATTGAGCAAGCGTGGTTATTAATGCTCAACTCTTCTCGATACGAGAAGAGGCCTTGGTCAGCAGTGGCCACTTATAGGCTGTTGATGATGTATGTTGCGTTCATTTTTAACTAATATTTTCTCATTCGCTCAAGTTTTTTACACCTTGCGTTTCTTAACCGTTATTCTTCATAAGAATCTAATCATATTGAAAAATTTTATCTGACGTTAGTGTTAGTACAATAGGCTTACGTAGTACATGGGACTCATAACAAGTATAGTGAAAAGTGGGTGTTACATTGTATGTACACTGGCATTAAGTGCCGTAATGTGCACCTCATAAAAGGCATCATGTTATGTTATATTAATATAGTTAGTAAGGCAAAAATAAGAGAAACTATTTTTTATTTATATTAAATACAATTATTTTAATAGGCGTTTCATATAGGATTAGCAAAATAACACATTATTTATCTTACATTCATTTCTTAAACAAAATAACATATATTATAACACGTACAACCCTCTTAAAATAAAAAATCTTCATTTATGTTCATGTGTTATTGTTTGGTAACAATTTTACAGTTGCCTGTTTTTTACTTCTATTCATGCTATCTGAAATCTCTTGTAACGTCTTATCTTTTGTTTCTGGTAAATATTTGTACAAAATTATAATAATTGCTAATGAAGACAAACCAAATGTAAGGAATGCTCCATGTAGACCAAATTTTCTGAATATTAAAGGAGATATCTTTAAAGTTAGTCCTATCACTAGTTTACCAGATAAAGCTATTAAACACACTGACAGATTCCTCGATCTGACTGGAATCAATTCTCCATATACTGATATAGACATGATCATAGGACCACAACTTACAGCTATTGAGAAGGCAACAAGTAAGGACACCGAAACATAATTGTTGTCCGAAATAACATTTAAAGAAATTAAATATAAGTACAATGACAAGGTAAAAAGAAAAAAGACTCCTATACTAGACGCTACAAGTAACAAAGTACGTCGTTTTAAATGTTTCATTAAAATGCAACCAGCATACATACTGAACACTGTGAAGCCATCTAGAACTAACATGGCGGTGTACGCCATCGACTCACTATTTGTGATTTTTTTCAAAATATCTATAGCATACACTGCAAATACTAACTTCCCGCTAAAAACTCCTAAACAGCCTGTTATAATAGACAACAAGGTTGGTTTATAAAATTCCTTAGATTTTAATGTTTTAAAGAAATCAATGATACGTTCTCTAGCAGTCATGTCGTCAACTCCACAACTGGCTATGTATTCTTTTTGGGAATTGATAAGTACTTCTAATTCCTTCTCAGATTCTTCATCGCAACCTTTTAGAGATCTGTGTGAGGCTGCACATTCTTTGAACCGTCCTCTACTGGCCAACCAGTACGGAGACTCCGGCCAGATCATAACGGTCAATATAATGTACAGAGAACATATAATTCCAAACAAAGGAATTTTCCTCCAATGGAAGAATGTGCCAATTGCATTTGAAGCCCAAATACCCCAATAGAAAGTGGCTGTCTTGATTGTTAGAAACATGCCTCTGTATTTTGGTGAAGTGTACTCTGTGAGAATCATAATTGTGATGACGATTTGTGACGCACTGAACAATCCTTGCATAATTTCACTGATCAGTATGTGTGTGATGTTTGTGCTGCAGTACAGGACCGTGAAGGCAGCCAGTGTATCTACGACTGCAATCATAAAGGGTATCCTCCTGCCGACGAACTTGGTGAGTAATGAGAGGATGAAGACAAACGGGAAGCCGCTGAAGCCGTACACGGACGCTGGAAAATTTCATTTTATAAATAAGTTTCCAATGAAATTATAAAGTTACAATGAGGGATCGGACGCTGAATGTCAATGTTCTACCGCGATTAACATGCAGGTCATGCTTGAAATCGATAAAGTTATTAATGTAATCGCTTGGGCGGCAACTATAAAGTGATACACAGTAAGTTTAGGAACAAAATATTTTGTGTATATATTTGTGGAGTTTTTACATGGAATAGTGCGTATAACAAGCAGACAGTTCACATGGTGGTACGCAATCGGTGGCACCCATGGATAACCACCACTCCAGAAGAGTTATAAGTACGTTGCCGGCCTTTTAGGGTTTTGGTTTTGGGGTGATATTAAAAAAGAAGAGAATCAACATACTCAGCCAAGAAGCCATGTCATCTGAGATGATGTCAGTATTGTTTGCTTCCCGCCTAATCTGGGGGATGAACATTGTGGGTGCACCCACGCACAGCCCGTACAGAAACATTGATGTCCATACTCCGCTGCAAATCAGCAACTAGAAATAAACAAACATTTATATTTTTAATGAAACTTCTTTGCACACATCATCTTTTATCTTGTCTCCTCAATATCCCGTTTACTTATAGATTTTAAGAAGGCCATATTAAATACTTTCACATAATACATAACATCACGCCTTTTATCCCCGAAGGGGTAGGCAGAGTGTACATTATGCCACTGTACAATGTAACACTCACTTTTCACTATTTATGTTATGAGTCCCAAGTAATAGGGGGTGAGCTTATTGTCATATACCGGGCACAATTCCAGACTCCGTGCTACTACTGAGAATATTTAAAAACCCAGTAATACATTGCCCGACCCAGGTATCCAACCCGAGACCCCTTGCCGTCGCACTTGCGACCACTCGGCCAACGAGGCAGTCTTTATTCACAAGAAAATAATATTATAATACCAAGGAAAACTCTTATATATGAGGCGTATATTTTAATTAAAATAATTATTTTGTGACAGATTAAATAAGTGTTATATAGGTACCAGTTAATCGGAGTAATAATTAGTATACTGTCAACATTTATAAATGAATAAATGATTACTAACACAGTTCTTTACTGTATGACGCTGACGTACATACTTGCAAAATAAATTGTTGATGCAATAGATCTTCATTGTATTTAGAAGTAAAAATATTATTAAATGGTTAAACATTTTTTATTTTTAAATGGTTACTTAAATATGTGTAAATTTTTATAACTTAATCAAATCGTGGTGAATAAATAACGTAAGTAAACTACACTTATGCACATTTACAACTACTTTATATATGTTTCGCTTTATCGTATGGTGCTAAAACCCCCTTTAACCTACTACTATACTACAATTTAAATTAGTATAAATTTTCTCAATTTTGGATTTGTATTTTGTAGCTATGTAACTGTAGGTAAAATATATATGTTTTAACTATCATGAATATAAAAATCTCTTCACAATACATAATTAGGTCTTGTTAGATGATAATGACGCATTACAAGATATTTAAAAAACAAAGGTCACTGTCCAGTGTCATTGCGAAAATAAATCACTTAATATTTTTTTTTTGTCTATTTAATTAGACAAAAATAGTACCTACTCACATGCTCATTATTATTCTATAGGTGTTTCATTACAAGGAACGATCGAGAATATTTTTTACATTGTTTTTGGAAACTTATCTGAGTTTTTTCAAAAGATTATAGTCTGATTTTGGGTGGAAAAACTAGACGTAGTGCGGAATATACCAACAGCACAAATACTTGTTCTTTTGTAGCACTCTTTGTTTTGTTATAGGCAGTAAGACGGATAAATAATTACTGTCGTAATATGCAACGTAAGGAATTGAATCTGACTGTGATCTAACTTATAATCACCTACGATACAAGAGAAAATTCTAGAATGAATCCTAAAAGAATAGATAATATTATGTTCTTACCAACACATATTATTCTTCTATTAGATAGAAGCAATTGTAACCACGTGACTATTTTCAAACTACACGTTATTACCTACTAGGTCTTACCCGCACTTTTGCTCGCGTCCAAAAATATAAAAAGTAGCCTATGTGACATATGCCAACAGACACAGCGCCATCTATACCAATACTTTTGTTTTCCCTCGAGAATATCATTTTTTCCGGGATAAAAAGTATCCGGGATAAATCCGGACTTCTAACTTTACGTCTGCAAAAATTCAAAGCAATCGGTTTAGTAGTTACGGTGTGATTGTGAAAGAGGAACAAACAAACAAACAAACTCACTTTCCAATTAATAGATAATATTAGTAAAGATTATACGTCCTAATATTTCGTTAATTTTAACACGAGAATGTATTGAATCTGCAATTTGTGCCTGACAGTCGTGCGGCCGCTAAACAGATGAAGCAGTAATTGGTCATTATGCAATGTCGTACAAATTTCATTATCGAACTATGCCAATAATTATAAAGTACTTTATTATATTAAAACATATTATCATGTTTCATAGTGTGTAGGTATAATTCAACAGGATTAAAAAAATACTAACCTTTGATATTCAAGTCAGTAATTTATAGATTACCTACATTTTTAATGTATGTCGTGTACCTACAGTTTTTTGTTTGTGTAGTGCAGCCACAGTGCAGCTAATCATTATGACATACATAATTTATACATATGGATATATATTTTATGTATAATATTAAAATGAACTTGTGGGACTTGGTAATAGGTATGTACTGCAAAATGGACACATTTATTATTTTTTTGGAAAAAGATAATGGATTCGGCTAAATAAAACTCAGCATTAAACAAGGTACTAAGTAGGTACATCCTTAGGTAAATAAGTTATAGTTTAGAAAATATTACATTACATTAGGATTCTTCTCATCATGTTATGCACATAATAAAAAATAAGGATTAGCTTGTTCAAATGGCAGTGTGCCGGCCACATTTGTCGAAGAACCAATGATCGTTGGCGTAGACGTGCTCTGGGGTGGAGACCGCATTTAAGCAAACGTAGTGTAGGGCGCCCTCCAGCTAGGTGGAGTGACGACATCCGCAAGGTAGCTGGTAGAGGTTAGAGCTGAAGACCGAGCTCAGTGGTGTGCCATGGGAGAGGCCTATATACAGCAGTGAACGAGAACAATATTGATATTGTATGCACATATTTGTATATTTACAAACACGAAATTGTCATAAAACTGGCTTTTATGACAATTACGTGTACTTAAACCTGAAGCAATAATAATTACTAGATATCACGTAAGCACTCCGACTGCGTCGTTGACCAAATGGTCGCAAGACGACTGCTGGGCAAGGGGTTCGATTCCCCGGTCGGGCAAAGTATTACTGGGTTTAAAAAAAATCTCAGTAATAGCACGGAGTCTGGAACTATATGGTATTAGGTTCACCCACTATTACATGGGACTCATAACATAAACTCATGACTCGTGACATTAAGTGCCGTAATGAGCACCTCTGCCTACCCCCTGAATAAAAAAGCATGATGTTAACATAACATCATGCCGATACATAACAATGTATGTAAGCAGTCCAAAAATATAATACACGATATTTTACATAACATTAATCCAACCGACCATTACAGTACCTAACAGTGTAGTAAAAAATTATCAGTTTATTTCCTGGTATCCCAATTTCTATCATCATCATAATTATCAGCCATAAGACGTCTCGTGCAGAACATAGGCCTCCCTCAATGATTTCCAAATCACCCAGTTAGAAGCGACCAGCACCCTGCGACGTTTATCAAGGCGCCCATCCACCATGTAGGTGGTGAACGTCCTGCGCTTGCTGATACGCAGCTCCATTCTAGAACCTTTTTGCTCCTATTGACACCATGAAATAATAGGCTAATTATTATTTTATAAACTATGTTTCAAAAACCCGACTCCAAACCCCTCTTTTTTCACAAGCAGACGGATCAACTGACGGTAAGCAATCGGCGTCGCCCGTCGTTGGAACACCCGAGGCGTTACAATTGCGTTAACGGCCTTTTGGAGATTAGGAGTTTGAGGATCGTTGGGGATTCAGGGATTGGAGAGATTGGGGAAGGGGAGGGTAATTGGGCCTCCGGTAACCTCACTCACACGACGAAACACAACGCAAGCGTTTCATCCCGTCAGTTTTCTGTAAGGCCGTGGTATCACTCCGGTCGAGCCAGCCCATTCGTGCCAAAGCATGGCTTTCTCACAGTTTTAGTTACTTAATTAATTTAATAAAACTTTGTCCTATGTATAACTAACACTTTTCTCTAAAAACAGCATCAAAATTGGTTCAGTCAATCGCAAGGTAATTGCGATTTCGAATTGCGCACAAAATCAAACAGTCAAACTGAGAACCTTCTTTTTTTGAAGTCGGTGAATAAATATTGTAAAACGAACCTGTTTCAAAAATGGTTTCCATTTAACTGTATTACTTAACACTTCACTATCACTATTGTTGACTGGAGCTGCTTCATAATTGTACTTATCCATTTTAAGTTTAAATTTATAATTTCACTTTAAAGAATATTTGAGTTATTAATTATTATTATCATCACTAGTTTTGTTAATAATAGTTGGTTAAATATATAATTATGAAGTGCGATCGACGCAGGCGCACGGTTTGTTATGTCGCCCCGTTTGTACCCGCCCACCGGTTATTTCGCGAATATTTACCTGAATGCCACCTTAACGCATTACTGCCATTCATTATATTTTAGGGTCCCTTACAGCAAGATGAAATAATTGGAACTTTTATTGCCTATTTTATGGGTTTGGTCATCTGATCTTAATACCCTTCAAAACGAAGGGCAGCCAAATGATGCACCTTTATATTTGTACCGAGAAAATACTTTTTTAGAAAATCTTAAGGAAATAAAATCTTAATAAAGAGCTATGAGATAAATTGTGTTATTATAATGAAAATAGTATTGAAGAATTATACTTCATAATGATAACATAAAAAATATACTTTAGCACAAAAAAAACAAGAAGTGTTATGACATAAGCTAACATGTATTATTTTTAATGTAAGTATTTTTTCGTGATGAAAATGACTATCATTATTTTAAAACTTAAAAAGGAAATTATATACCTACGGGACCTTCAATGGAAAACTTTAACTCGTCGTATTGTATTGTATTAATAGCTATTAAACTGAAAAGTAATGTAATTACTTATATCTTAATACTAGGAACTTGTATTTATTGCTGATGTAAGTGGACACTTACATGCGTTCATATTATTATTACTTACTTTATTTAAGAAATCTTTAATTATGTTGTTGTTTTCTTTCTATATTGAATACTTTGGAAATTGCATTATTTACTTTAATTTCAGCATTTTAAGATGACGGCGTTTTAGAGGAGACGTTTCATTATAGAAAATAATTGTGTTTAGTGAAGAAGACATATTTTTATTAGTATAAGCTGATAAACGAGCAGACGGATCACCTGATGACAAGCAATCGGCGACGCTCATGGACAAAGGCGTTACAATTGCGTTGCCGGCCTTTTGGGAATTAGGATTTTGTGGATTGTTGGGATTTGATGATTGGAGAGATTGGGGAGGGGATAATAAGTCCTCTGGTTACCTCACTCAAACGACGAAACACAACGAAAGCATTGTGTCGTCATCATAAGCAGTGTTCTCTGAAAAACCCGCAAGCAAATTAAAATTATTCGTATAACACCTACCTCGATGTACCTCTTAAAATGCGACGAGTATTTACATAAATACGTACAATTTTTTTTATTAATGTATTTACATTAATTTTATCCTAGTACAATAGCCTAGTTAGCAACGTAGGTGAACATCAACTTTGACATTTAAACGAATAACGAATACTTTATTGTTTACACTGTAAATATTTTGTACACAGCCTCCAGCTGGAGCTGTTGTGTTAAGCTGTGGCCATTAAAACGATGAATAAAAATAATACCTATATTATTTCAAATTCACGTAATTTGGTATTTTCATGTAAATTCTAATTGAATTAATTAATTAAGTACTCTGCATTTATTACTAAAGAAAAACTTTACTATTTTTTTAAGGAACTCTTTTGTAAGGAAATGTAAGACTGAGGCTTTGGCATAACAATATTTTTTACTAATAACTTCATAACTTGTATACCTGTCCGTTATGGTATGACAAACATGATACTATCCAATATATCGACAGATGACAAATAATAGTGTTCTAGTTAAATTTTTAAAACCGCTGCCTTAATGTCCGCGCAAACTTCAATGCAAACCTCAATTTGTTTTCATTACAACTGTTTTAATATCAGTAATTCATTCGGTAACACTGATTAACATTAAGCGTGCTATATATTTACTAGCTGAAACCTATGGTTTTGCCCTGTATGGTCAAATAAAGAAAAGTTTACTAAGTTGATGTATTACCCCAGCGTCCACATATACAAATCACACCATAAAAGTATTTGATACCAGATGAAAAAACTACACTTCCACATTTCTATATTAATTAGAATATCTGTATGTTTGTTTATAACTCCTTCATGTCAAAGCGGCTGAAGGGATCGGAATGAAATTCGGAACAGAGGTGGATAAAACCTAGGCTACTTTTTTTTAGTTGCGGAGAACCTAACGGGTAACCGGGGCTCCGGCTCGACGTGCAGGAGAAGGAACGGGGTGGTTTTTAGTCAGTAAGAGTCTGACACTCCCTTCAGCCTCACCCAGGCGGGAGCAGTCATTCGATGATTTTCCCCCCTTACTAAAAAAAGGCTACTTTTTACCCTACGGCAACGGGAACGCGGGCCTTAACATACTTACGTTAAGTGACGTGTGTATTCAAGCGTCTGATCATGGATTATCTCAGGGTCAAGTACTTAACTAGATGCATTATAACTAGCGATAAAGACAGTTGTTCAATATTATTAATATTTTTTGTGCGATAGAAACTATATTCAATTATTTATGTTGATTATAAAATACATATCTGTCTTAGGTTACCTACCTTTTTTTTTGAGGGGGTAAAATCATTCAATCTTCTCCCGCCTGGGTGAGGCGAGAGGGAGTGTCAGACCCTTACTGACTAAAAACCACCCCGTTCCTACTCCTGCAATTCGAGCCGGAGCCCCGGCAACCCGTTACCTACCTGCCTAACAACTATTGGTAAAAACGCTTTTAGTTTGTTTTTTATTTTCACTGCTTTTAATTTTGACCTTGATCCGTTCCGATATAAATTATAATGTAGTTGTTGAATAAACAACATTTCATGCATTACCTCGTGTTCATGTGTTGATATTATGATAATATGTACTATAAACTTAAGTCCAATTTTAAAACATTTCACTTAAGTAGGAGGGTCGATTAAGTAATCTTTATACATGTAATATTTATTTGTAAATTACTTATTTTAATGTTAAGTGATCAAGATGGCGGTTGCTTTAGTTCCATACATTGAGATTGGAGAACATTTTATGAACACCTTTTATCAAGTACTTCATAAAAATATATGCATTCGTTACTACAGTATCAAACATCACCACGTCGTTTGTCCCCGAAGGAGTAGGCAGAGGTGCACATTACACCACTTATTGCCACTGTACTATGCAACACCCACTTTTCACTATTTATGTTATGAGTACCATGTAATAGGGAGTGAGCCTGTTGCCATATACCAGGGACATTTCCGGACTCCGTGTTACAATTAAAAAAATACAGTAATACTTTACTCGACCCGGAAATTGAACCCGAGACCCCTTGCCCGGCAGTCGCATTTGCGACCACTCGACCAACGAGGCAGTCAACTAACAAAGTCAATACTACAGTACCACTTTTCTATATCTCAGGCGATAACAGGCATATTCTTATATGTATATATGTGTCATGTCGTATGTTTTACACGTCATTTTAGTTATACAGATTCTTTTGGGTTTAGTACCGACCAAACCAAATAACAAATCGCCTGAAATATCAGAATCAGGACATATGAAGCGATCTATCACCCCCTAGGCTCACTGGGGGACATTCCTCCAACAGGGAGGACATTAAATAGCCTATTAGGGATGTCATAAAATATTTCGCTTCCCACACTAAAATAAAATAGAGCGTGAAGCGTATCCACTACTTTAGGAAACACTTTAGGGGGGATCTTTAAGTCGCTACCCATTAAATAAAGGACATATTGATATTGTGTATTTTTGTCACAGGATTTATTGGATAGAGAGGTGTTTATTTTCATTTACACTATGTCGTCGGTGCATTTACAAACATACAGTTCAATATACACATGACACCCAGACCCAAAATAGCAATTTGTGAATCACAACGTTTGACGCGTAGAAGCCTATGAGCAAAAATACAATTTCATTTACATTTTACACAAAGATTTGTTCCATGCAAGAATCGAACCTAATAAACGTTGTGCGGTGACCAGTTCACAGCCCCCACAGCCAACCATACGGTCAATATGTATGATGATGATGTACACGAAATATTATTTTGTTTCTTTTTCAATAAACCTATCTCGATACTAGGTTTGTCTCTTATGTCGTGTCGTAGCTACGTTTACAAACCCGAGCGTACGGCGCGTAGCGTTCCGCGCGCGCCTCAAAGAGCCATCAGACCACCACAGATGGGGCCCAATAGGGCCGATGCCGATTCGGAGTCGCGGAGAACCTAACGGGTAACCGGGGCTCCGGCTCGACGTGCAGGAGAAGGAACGGGGTGGTTTTTAGTAAGTAAGAGTCTGACACTCCTAAAAAAAAAAGTTACGTTTACAAACGTACAAGTACAATACCCAGACCCGGAACGAATATGTGTACTAAGAAGTACTCTTCAAATAGGAAATGTGCTGTTGACCTAGTGTCTGTGTATTCTGTTTAAATATCTGGAGGCTTTACTAAGTGTATTTATGTATAATTTATCATATTCATTAAAATAATCAGTTGTGTATACAACATCAAATTCAGCCTACTAATCCTACTAATATTGAAAATGGGGAAGTTTGTATGTATGTTTGTTGGCCTCACGTCAAAACGACTGAAAGGATCGAAAGGAAATTTGGAACAAGAGTCGATGGTAAAGGTATAGTCTAGAATAACAACATAGGTCAATTTTTGTCCCACAGAGACACAGACGAAGCCATGGGCATGTGGTGGCTATTTTCTTATAGAAAATAGTTATAATTAACATAACATAACATCACGCCTTTTTATCCCCGAAGGGGTAGGCAGAGGTATACATTACGGCACTTAATGCCACTGTACAATATAACACCAACTTTTCACTATTTATGTTATAGGTCCCATGTAATAGGGGGTGAGCCTATTGCCATATACCGGGCACAATCCAGGTTCCGTGCTACTACTGAGATTTTTTGAAAAAACCCAGTAATTCTTTGCCCGACCCGGGAATCGAACCCGAGACCCCTTGCCCGGCAGTCGCACTTGCGACCACTCGGCCAACGAGGCAGTCTTAGTTATAATTACTTAAGACGATATGGTCATATTGGTCATCTGGCGCCGTTTACAGCCCCACAGACCCCACGGTACAGGCAATATGTAAATGTTGTGGTGTGTAAGAAACTTTCTCTTTTAGTCTTTAGGAAATACAATTTAACCGCCTTTCATTCAAAGAAGTATTAAGTCAAGTTATCAAATAATGACAGGCGTCGTAAATTTATATTAATAAATGTTAACATAATCGGCCCATAAAGCATTAAAATAAAATCTAGAAATAAGTAATTCTACAGGTTTAGCTGGTTTATGCTTGTGTAAAAGTGAGGAAATGTTCATTTACGCATACATAATTTTAAGCAAAGAATTGATCGAAGATTTTTCACATTATATTTTCCTGTTTGTTTAAACAAAGATCTCATATCACTCATTAAAATAGTTGGTATGGTTTTAAGTCCAACACAATACTAACGTATGATGTAAGTACAGGTCCACTGCTGAACTTTGATACCAGCTCTGATATTGTGCCATAGATATGAGTATCAATCTTTTCAAAACCGATTTACCTTATGCAATACTTACGACAAAGTAATTTCCAAATTTTCCTATTTATAGAATAATTTATTATAATTAAGTTCCTAAAAAATCTAAATATACTACAATAAAGTGTGAAAGTTTTCCTTCCATCTTCATCAAAAGAAATATCAATAATAGACCAGTATAATTCATTGTTATGAGCATCAGGTCACTCCCCTAGACACGATTTGCATGTTAATCCGTAGCCGTCACCTCCCACATCATATTCCACCTTAAAGTACGTGTAATCAGTGAATATTAAACATTTCACTGTTTATTTATTCATTCCCAGAATTCTGCACTTTAAAAGGAACTTTATTAATTTTCTTTTTTAATTTTGTTTTTATTTTTATGTTTTCTTTTCTTTGACCAATCATGCTGCATACTTGCACGGGATATCAATTTGGATCTATAATAAGTTGAGGTTTTTTCAAAAGATTATGTCTCCGATGCAATGTTTTGTAAAATAACATAACAACAATAAATATTAATTTACCGTAGTGGTAATAACTGCTGTTCAAAACATTGGTTATACCATCGAGTTAAAAAACGTTTAGATCATTGTTTTAGACTAATTTCACAGTTTTCAGTAAGTCTCTTAAACCTGTTTGTTGTTTCACTAACGGATAATTATGAAAACTCAACTAAAACACAAAATTAGAAATTATCCCACAATCTATCGTTTTTTTAAATATCCAACTGGTCTACGCAAAACATTAGGTCACTACGTGCCCGATTTCCATAAATAAGTATTTATTTAAAATTAAAATAATAGCCGAACAGGTTCCTTGTAAACCAGTTAATATCATTTAAATGTTTGTCACTTAAAATATACCTACATATGTATTAGACCAGTCTTACAAACAGTCGGGAGTCAGTGGACATATGTTAGTCAATTTGAAACAGTGTGTACTTCTAATTGAATATCCATATTTACTTAATCATGGATAAGTGCAATTACAAAGAGATTCCGAATAAAAAAGTACGGATCAATAATTTGAAAGGACGCTCGGATTGGAAACCGTTTCTAAAACAGGTAAATAAAAGCAAATATACGTATTATTGCTTATAACTTTTTTAAGTGTGGGAGAGTCATGCTTCGGCACGAATGGGCCGGCTCGACCGGAGTGATACCACGGCCTCACAGAAAACCGAAGTGAAACAACGCTTGCGTTGTGTTTCGTCGTGTGAGTGAGGTTACCAGAGGCCCAAATTACCTTCCCCTTCCCCGATCTCCCCAATTCCTGAATCCCCAACGATCCTCAAACTACTAATCCCCACAAGGCCGGTTACGCACTTGTAACGCCTCTGGTGTTCCAGGTGTATAGGCGACGCCGATTGCTTACCATCATATCATATCATTATTGCTTGATCTCATATTGTCGTCATATCATAGCGGATGTAATCAAATCCAGTAAATACCCTAAGGTAGACTGGCAGAGAATTTCCTAAGCATTAAGTCTGCCTTGTGATGTATGTGCAGAAAAAATAAATAATAATAAATATGTTATTTACTTACATTTGTGGACATTGACTGATAGTTTATGTATATCCCTTTTTAACCTTGGAACCGTTACAATGAATACCAATACCTACCGGTCTTTCAGTACAAGACAGGTTGTTGTAAAACTATAGTTATAATAACTACTGATAATGAAGTTAGTGTGATAGTTCATAACTAGTGTCTTTACCATTTTCATTGACAAAAGTCTATCTGAAAGTAATTACAGATAATATTGTGTATGTCCATCTCTGTGTGTGCTAAATTAATTATTTATCGTTTTAACCACTGATTTGTCACTGATATAGTGAACTAATGATTGTTTCATGTAAATCTTATATCCTTTCTTTTTTATTTTCGATAATTCTGTTTTTAAATGCTAGTGGACTTTGCTTACGTAGAAGATTGTCACTATTAACATAATGACTATTTATTATCATAACAAGTTTCGTCTAAGCTTGTAATGTATTTTTTTGCTGGTATTTTCAATAGATGACTAATTTTGTTGCCTTTCATATTCTCCGTTTTGGCTGAATGAAAAACATTTTGTAGTATTGTTAACTTCGATTCTACTGTTATGTTGAAGAAAATGCCATCACTTAATGTGAATCTTTTTAATTTAAAACTGTCAGAAATGTTTATTATCTAATATTATTATAGTGACGTAATTTTCTGGCAGTTATTCTTAAAATACTATGTAAGAGCGGATGAATCTATTAATTACCATAAACCGAGCACAAATCCCCTGCCTACTAATAACTGACAAAAACTGAATCTCCAAGAACCCATCTCACCTCAAAAATGTTAAAATAAATAACAAATGTACGTTCTACATTTCAGCTGTTAATATGCAGTGGAGTATGGATGTCTGTGTTTCTGTATGGACTGTCCGCGAGTGCACCCACTGTCTTCATCCCTCAGATCAGACGAGAGGCCAACAACACTGAAGTAATCACTACTGACATGGCTTCTTGGTTGAGTAAGTTCTTAGTAGTAAAGTCAAGGTAAGATTCTTACTTATTGTAAATATTACCTTGACTTTACTTAGGTAAATTAAATAATATAATGATTTAACTTCAATTATTTATGATTATTAACTATGTTCATTTTTTATTCCACAGCTTCAGCGTTTGGGTTCAGCGGGTTCCCTTTCGTCTTAATCCTCTCAATACTCTCCAAGTTCGTCGGCAGAAAGATACCCTTCGTCATCGCAGTCCTGGACTTCCTTGCCGCCTTCATCGTCCTCTACTGCAGCACCACCGTCACACAAATACTGATCAGTCAAATCATGCAAGGATTGTTCTGCGCCGCGCATACCACCATCACGATAATGATTATGACTGAATACATTTCACCAAAGTACAGAGGAATATTTCTCACAGCCAAAACTGCTACGTTCTACTGGGGAGTATGGGCTTCAAATACCATAGGAACATTTTTCCACTGGAAAATAATTCCATTGTTTGGTATAGGATGTTCACTGTACACTCTGTTAACATTAATGATCTGGCCGGAGTCTCCGTACTGGTTGGCGAGTAGAGGACGTTTCGAAGAATGTGCAGCCTCACACAGATCACTAAAAGGTTGTGATGAAGAATCTGAGAAGGAATTAGAAGTGCTGATCAATTCACAAAGGCAATATCTTGCTAGTTCCTTAGCTAATAAACAGCCAGTAACAAAACAAATCACTGGCTTCTTTAAAACAATCACATCAAAGGGATTTTGTAAACCAACTGCATTGTCTATTTTGACAGCCCTTCTATCAGTTTGTTCTGGAAAAATGGTATTTGCTTTCTATGCTGTAGATATTTTGAAAAAAGTTACAAATAACGAGTCCACGGCTTATATAGTAATGTTGATCATTGATGGGTTTACTGTAGTCAGCATGTATGCAGGATGTGCTCTAGCAAAACATTTGAAGAGACGCACTTTGTTATTAGGAGCTTCTACTATAGGGGCTGTGTTTCTATTTATTTTGTCTATTTACTTATACTGTATTCAATTGCATCTGATTCCAGAAAATCAGTACCTTACAATAACATTATTCATTGCTTTCACTATTGCAGTCAGTTGTGGGCCCTTGTCAGTATCAATGTCAGTGTATGGGGAGTTGATTCCTATCAGATCTAGAAATTTATCAGTATGTATCATTGCGCTGTTTGGAAAACTAGTTACTGGATTGTCGCTAAAATTGGCTCCAACAATATTTAAAAATTTTGGTGTTCACGGAACATGCCTTACGTTTGCTATTTTTTCTGTTATCACAGTAGTGATTTTATATAAGTACTTGCCTGAAACTAAGGACAAGACCCTACAACAAATAAATGACCAAATAATGGGAGTGAAATCAAATACAGGTCAAACAACAACTAAATTAATAGTTGATGATAAAGATGTATAAATTAATTGTATTTATTAATACGTATTTAACATTGTAAATAATAAATAATTTATGACGCTTTTCTAATTTATAAGATGAACTAGTATCAGGCAGGATCAATCTGTACCTATTATTTTAGAAATTAAGTCTCTATTTGTTTGCGAATTTTCTTGAAAAAAAGTAACACTTTCGCTAGCAGCATTTTAAGGCGCTGAACATTTCAATTGATTGCGCGCGTCACTAAAGTATGGTATTATATTATAATACCATTTAAAAAATAAATAATGAGTAAAAAGTTGGTACTCGTAAAATGTTGGTTTTCAAATCAACCTGTTTTATTAATACCTTATCTTAAAAGCATTTTGTTTCATCATGTCAATAACAATACCTGCATACTTATCTTCTTCAGTAGAATTATTATTATTAGTAAATCATTATTTAATTTTATTCACTTGCCACAAAACAAATTTCTTTAATAGGGATTTTAATATATTATAATAACTAAATAAATAAGTACATACAATATACATCTATCAAGCATAGAATAAGTAGGACATCAATATAACTGACCTAGGCCAACGTATTCAGTATTAAGACAGTAATAACCGGGTCGGTTGGGGGTCAACCCTGGTTAGGCCCCCAAAGGAAATAGCGCGGTGATACGGCCACGTGCCCCTACTATCTGTTACCGGACACGCCGCCATCTTGGAATGTCGTCTGCAAACGTTTGCCACAACTGTTTTGTTTACGATGTTACCCTAGTTAGGTGTTTCGTACTAAGTATAACGATGTAGGTGATAATAATTAGGTTAAGATATGTGTGGTAGCATAACTTAGAACTATCTTGAGGAAATATACTTAGTACTAAGTTAATTTAGAGATTAGTACTGACTTAAGCATTCAAAATGCTACTGTACCAATGCATTTTTTTTGTATTATCTTATGTCATTTTGTCTCATTAGTAATTAGTGTAATCCTTACTAATATTATAAATCGGAAAGTGAGTTTGTTTGTTCCACTATCACGCCTTTACTACTAAACCGATTGCTTTGAATTTTTGCAGACGTGAAGTTAGAAGTCTGGATTAAATAATAGGATACTTTTTATCCCAGAAAAATTTGATATTCTCGAGGGAAAATGAAATTATTGGTATAGATGGCGCTGTGTGTATTGGTGATTGTCACATAGGCTTCTTTTTATCCTTTTGTGACGCGAGCGAAGCCGCGGGTAAAAGCTAGTTCTAAATATAAATAAAATATTCTATTCAAAACTCCAATCGTATTTTGATTAATTCATCCACTAATATGAACCAGAAATGGTGACATAGAGAAGACAGTGTCACCGTGTCACGCCTACAAAAACGCGAGAAGAAAAAGCGACAAAAAGATAATTGTCTCGATACTTATGACCCTTGCTTTCGTTGTCTGTTTCCGATTGGATTCACAACGATTCGGAATTACCCCTGAGCCATCCATCATAACGTTTTGGGGTAACGTCACGCAGGTCATTGTCCTTTACGGAACATTCGCGTATCAATTGTCACTGGTAGCCAGGGATGGACTTGGGTAGAAGGATGCATTTCATGTAATTGACAGTTGAGATTGTGTATTATAAGGATCTTAGTTTTATCTTTTCAGTAATATTTTGATGATATAAAACTGAAATGAGTAACTGCATAATGGTATGACGGATTCAAAGTATAATAACTGTAAATTAAAAAGTTTTTTAAAAAATATAATAAGTATTATGAAATTAAGTAATTGACGTTGTTTTTGATTTCAAGTGTAATAATGCCCCTAGTTTTACTTATATTAATTGGAATATAGATCTATATATAGGCACAAGCCTAGGTAGTGCAGCCTGAACAAGAAGAAAAAATAGAATGCAACCAATCCACTTAGCCACACTTATCATTAAAAAAAAGTGTTCCCTAATGAAAAAAGACTAAAGCACTCTTGGGACTTAAAAAACCAGTTAAATCCGTCTCTTGGTAGGCCATCGTCGATTTTAATAAAGTCACTTGAGTCGTTAACCCCAAGTACAAGTTTAAATAAGGGCCACCAATGCCAGCATTCGACATCTTTGTTTTCACAAGTACTCCAAGTAATTACCACTCGAGCTCAGAGCGTTATGGTCATTTACATTATAAATTGATAATAATGGATCGGCAAAAACATTATAACTTTGGAATCAAAGTTCAGTTTCCGTAATTACAATTATGTTATGGGTAGTGATTTAGGATGTTTTTCGGGTTTGAACTATATTTCTAACAAATATGTAGATGTTGTTGACTTATTTTGTTGCCTCGGTTAAAGCAAGTACGACCCTGTGGTTACTAAACTACGGAGCACTAGCACTGAATATAATTTCTAGTTAACAAAATTTTATTGGCGCTTTTAATTTATAAATCCGATATTCGCGATAGATGGTAATTGGTTTGTTGTGAATTATTTACATCGCTTGCACAATTTATTCACAAATAGGACTAGGTACATTTAAGTAAATAAATAAAAATAAATTTTAATGTTCATCTACACTTATTTTTATTTACGTGTTATTCTGTAAAATAGAAATTAAAATCTTGTTAGACAAATATATCAGAGTGCAAATTATTTTAACGATAAATGATATTGAAATGTAGGTAACCCATATTTTTTCTAATTAAAACCAAACTTTGTAATCACGAAACCATATACGGCTATTTTATTTTTATAAAACCGCAAAAATAGGCCTCAAAAAATATCACATATCTAATTAAAAATTCTATAAATATAATGCAAATCACATTGAACTGTAGCGGGTGATCACCCTCGACAAAAACAAAGAGGTTCCGGCCCTCTGGGAGTGATGACCTTATCATAATTATCTCGTATTGATATGCAAGCCGATGTTTTAACTCAACCTTTTAGAGTTTACGCGGTACAGGCTTTCTTAAAAACTTTCAAGTAAAAATCATTACTACACCGATTTTAAAACATCGTTATGAATATTTTCGAAAAAAGTTTAGAGAGACATAAATAGAGATATTTTCATGGAAATTAAAAATTACCGTTGATATATCCTACCAAATATTTCGTCGTACAGAATAGTATCTAAACATCGAAAATGAAGTCTAGTTATAATGAAGTTAGCGGATAGCAGTCACCGGTGACCGGTTGGGGATTGAACAGAAAACTATAACTTGTGCAATTATTCAAATCGTTTATTACGAATATAGGTCAAGTGTAGATGTTACAGGAGTTATTACAAAATAATTATTCTTTAAAATTACTAGGTATAACTTGAACTTCTCAAATAATTTCGAAATTGTTCGTAAATAATTTTTTGACTTTAATTTATGTTTCATATAAGTACCAAACATTAAAGTCAGTTCACAAGTTTCCATGATTTTTACTTGATTTGTATGAAAACCAATGCCGCGTAAACAGTCTTAACAACGTACTCTCTATTGTTCTTGTCTCGTTAGGTTTGTGTTACATTGACAAACATAAGTTGATGAACTTTGACCTTTAAAACTAAAAGGAAAGGAATCAATTTCCTAGGGATAGCATAATAAGGGATTGTTTTCCTAGTAAAGGAAATATAAACTTCTGACTGAAGCTAAGAGATAAACTGTTAGGAAGAAGATAAAGTAAAATTTTCCATTGTAAGTAATGGATAATTCCATTCCTTTTAACACATTGGATGCCGTGTCGGACAATGATGTCCGACGCTAGCGGAGGATTAGCTTTTAACAGTTTTAGGCTTAAACTGAAATATTGTCGGTTTTTTATAGGATAGGCCGGTAAACGAGCAGACGGCTCATCTGATGGCAAGAAATCGGCGCCGCCCATGGACACCCGGAGCACCAGAGACGTTACAAGTGCGTTGCGTCCGAAACGTTAAGGTTTCGGGGATTGGAGGGATTGAGGAGATTGGGGAGGGGGGTAATTGGGCTTCCAGCTTCGTATATCATCAAGTTAAGTCAAATATTGTGATGTACCTAATACTCTTGAACGGGGAGTTTCATCAAGACACTGTATCTTAAAATTGTGGTTAATATTGATGCCTATGATAATGCTGACATTTTTCCATACACACATAGGTACAGCACTTATATCAAAAATAAAATCAGAAAGTTTACAAAACAATTAATTTAATATTTATTTATAGTAGTAGCAAATGATCATGTACTAAAAGTTTAAAATTAATTATAAATTCTAAACATACATTAAGGGTCTAGGAAAGGTGCGCCACCTGTCGGGAGCACTGGACGTAAATCATACGGTGAAGGTTTTATATCATGCGTGGGTTACTTGATAACGTCATTTCTGTATACCCGGGAACATATTAGGTAAAATATTGAGCTTGCTAGTAAATTTTGAATAATGTTCGTAGGTAAAATATGTTTCGATACATAAATAAGCGAAGATCCTCGTTGACTGGTAACACTACCGCAAGGACCAATAAAGGTGTATTTTTTTTTAGTTCAGTAGTTAAAGCAGTAGACTGCACGGTTGTCGTGGTGGCTGAGTAATTGGCTGCCGCGCAACGTGTAGCGGGTTCGATTCCCGTACGGAGCAACTCTCTGTGTGTTCCACAAATTGTTGTTTCGGGTCTGGGTGTCATGTGTATGTGAACTTGTATGTTTGTAAACGCACCTACGACACAAGAGAAAATCCTAGTGCGGAGTGAATAAAGAAAAGTAGCAAAGTACCTAATGTTGCTTTTATTTGCTGTTTAAGACCTGGAATCGCAAAATGTTTTTTTTTTTACTTAGATTGTCTCAATATCAAGGTGACTAGACAAGCTTATGGAAAGTCTTATACTTTTAGCAACGTTAAGGTAAATTATTCCAAACTATCCTGACTTAATTTTGAATCTAGACTGACATTTGCATTCTATATTTACATAACATCACGCCTTTTACTCCTAAAGGGCAGAGATGCACTTTACAGCACTTAATACTTTTCATTATTTATGTTATAAGTTCAATATAATGGGAGTGAGCCTATTGCCATATGCCGGACACAATTCCAAAC